TTTAAGGCTGCTGTGGGCTGAACCTCTCACCTGAGTGATGTAGATCTGAACAGTGGCCAAAAACTTGCACTGTGTAAGGTGAAGTCCTGTCTGCAGAGGTGTGCACACAGCTGCCTTCAGAGCTGACCTCCCTCTAGGGCTTGGCTGGATTTAACTGTCCCTTATTTGTCCCTTCCTCAGACCCTACAAACTGTTGTTACTCTCCTCCTTCCCTCTGGTTTTCCTGCTCTGCCTGACACCTCAAGTTCCTTGTGCTTTAGGTTTCTGGGGTCTGCTCGAGCTCACCCAGGGCCCTGGAAGGGATGAGCAGGGGTAATGCCCAAACAGTGCCTGTGCCTCAATGTCAGGGTGTCACTGTGGAGTGGCCACTGTGTTTGTGCTGGCAGATGGCTGTATGCCTAGCTGAGAAGCCAGCACTTGGGGAAGGGGCTAAAGATAAATTGTCCCTGGAACGTGGGTTTCTCCGTGGGGTTACGAGAGGTGGCTCTGCTGCCATCACTCCTCCTCCTGCTTCCATCTCTCTGCTTCCCAGAGACCAGCTTCTGGCCTGGGTCCTCCTGTTGATGTGTCCTTGCCTCCCTGTGCAGGTGAGGAGCTCATTTACCTGGATCCTCACACCACACAGCCAGCAGTGGAGCCCACTGACAGCGGGTGCCTCCCTGATGAGAGCTTCCACTGCCAGCACCCCCCGTGCAGGATGAGCATTGCCGAGCTCGACCCGTCCATTGCCGTGGTGAGTTCTGCTCCAGCCACCGCAGGGAGCAGTGCACAGCTCTCCCTTTCCCCAGGGAATTGGCACAGGCAGTGGGGATGGGCTGGGTACGCTGCAGTGCTGTGCTCTGGGCAAGTGCTGCCCTGGGTTTCGGTGCTGTTGGTAGAGCAGCTCCTCATGCAGGAAGCTTGGGCCAGGGAAGGTCCCCTTGCATGGCAATGAAATGCCATTCTTTGTGGGGCAGTGTCCTTCTCTCAGGTTTGGTTTGGGCTTTGATTCTTGCCTTTTGATGGGCAGATCTGAATCCACTCCTGAATCCCTATTATGATACACATTGGCTTGTTTTCTGGTGAACCTGAGATGCTTGCCCCTTGCTTCTACAGTGGTTGTTTTTCCTGCTTTTCCTGGCTGCTATCGAGCAGGCATTGCTGATTCCAGCCCTTGGATAGTCTGGTCACATCAGGCCTTTGGGGAGTGTTCAGTTTAACAGGGCAGTGTTGGCCACAGTATAAAACCAAGGCAGTTGGGTGCTGTAGCTGCTCACAGTCCTGATTGTAGCTTGGCATTAAGGCAGGGCCCTAAATCTGAAGCGATCAACCTAAAGTATAGAAAGATAAACTCTTTTTATTTTTCAGGGCTTTTTCTGCAACACAGAGGCAGATTTTAATGATTGGTGCCAGCAAATCAAAAAGGTTTGTGTTTATATATCTGGTCAGACATTGAACAGGCTGCCCAGGGAAGGGATGGAGTCAACCATCCCTGGAAGTGTTCAAAAGCCACGTGGATGTGGCACTTGGGGACATGGGTTAGTGGTGGGCTTGGCAGTGCTGGGGGAATGGTTGTACTGGATTATCTTGGAGGTCTTTTCCAACCTAAACGATTCTCTATCACCACAAAAGGAACGTCAGGTGTTGTCATTCCCAAAGCACTGCCCGGAGACTATGTTCTCTGCAGCACAAGCCCAGTTTAAACCATATCAACCAGTTTATTAAACTACCAAAAGGAGCAGAGCTCAGAAATTCTGTTGGTGATGAGTGTCCAAGATTTGAAAAACACTTTTCCAGCTGCAGTGAAGTCCCACCAGATCGTTATTACCCCTTGGAGAGCAGCAGGAGTGCAGAGCTGTTGGTGCTCATGGCTCTCTCTGTCCCCGCAGCTGTCCATGGTGAGAGGAGCTCTGCCCATGTTCGAGCTGGTGGAGCATCAGCCCTCACACTTCTCCAACCCTGACGTCCTCAATCTCACACCAGGTGAGGTCACACAGGGAGAGCTGAGGGTGGGACAGTCCCTTTGGTCCTCTGGAAATCCTGTGCTGATTTCCAGTCACAGTGGCACACTGTGACTTCTAGTATGTTCCTGTTCCACCTGCAGTTCTGGTCTGGAGCGCTTGGGTCAATTTATGTTAACTTTTGGCTTTGAACTAGTGGTTTGCAGATCCGACATTGTCTCAGGATGACTTTTAGAATAACCTGTGAATGGTGGTGGTGCTGGAGGGGAAGAAAAACGAGCTCACAGGCTGCCACAGCAATGTGATTCTAGGATTTCTAAAGGGATGCTTAGAGGCATCGAAACTGTCTATTGAAAAGACTGAAACTGAGTTTGTAGGTAGTGAAAATGGTGCAAGACAGGGCTGGTCACAGGTAGTTCCAGCACATGACACTGCTTCCTGTGCATGTTCTACTGCCAGTGTAGGAAGGAACAAGTGCTGGACACTGTCTTGGCTGTCAGACTCTGCTTATCATGTCAATGTGAACAAACACTGCAGGAGATAAGGAACCATTGGCAGCTGCTGCCAAGAGCAGTGTGTGTGACCCACCCTATCACCAGCCTCTGGGCTGGCACCTGCACCCTGTGCTGCCTTTGCTGTCTCTTTCCTTAGTGTGAGCTCTCAAACCTTCCTTATTATACTGTCTTGTGCTGGCAGAGAGCTCAGTCCTCTCAAACTGCCAACTCATCCTTGCCTATATTAAACTGGCCCTAATTCCTGCCTTTCCTGCTTGTAAAAATACTTTTTTAATGGACTACTTGTCCTTCTTCCTCTTCCATGGCTTGGAGAGTCTTTCCCATCTGCCATGGCCATTCTGTTTCTCTTAGTCCTGTCCCTCACTAGAAGGAGTAATTGTACTTAGAGCCCTTCTAGTGCCTCAGGGAGCTCCAAGAAAGCTGCAGAGGCACTTGGGACAAGGGCCAGGAGGGCCAGGGCAAGGGGAAATGGCTTCCCACTGCCAGAGGGCAGGGACAGATGGGACATTGGGAAGGAATTCTTCCCTGTGAGGTGCTGAGACACTGGCACAGGTTGCTCAGAGTAGCTGTGGCTGCTCCATCCCTGGAAGTGTTCCAGACCAGGCTGGATGGGGCTTGGAGCAACCTGGGCTGGTGGGAGGTGTCCCTGCCCATGGCAGGGAGTGTAATAAGGTGAGCTTTAAGGTCCCTTCCAACCCAAGTCTGTGATTCTGTGACTGTCCAGCCTGAGTGGATTGAGGTTTCTCCTTTACTTCCCCAGTTTGCCCATATGTTCTCACCTGGTTCTTTTCCCTGTGCTAAAGTTGCTTCCCCTTTGGCCATGTGCTTCTTCATCAGCATAGAGTTGGAAGCATGGGCAGGAGGTATCAACTACATTACCTGTTCTCACAAAATGGGCTGTTTTTGGAGAGTGCATGTTGTGTAATTACATTCCCTAACAGCTGTATCAAAGGCAGTTACAGCAGAAATGATTCTCTAAACCATAGTGGAGAAATGTTCCTGTACCAGTTAATTGGGTCAGAAATCTTCATGGATATTAGTCCAGACCTGGTAAAATTCTCCTCTTCTGAGTGTTTTGAGGCAAATCAGTCTCCTGCTGGTGCACAGGAAGGTTGTACCTGGTTGCCCCTGCCAGTGGCAGCAGAGTTGTGTGTGGGCTCCGTGGAAGAGAACAGAATTCTCTCCAGTGTGTTTTCCATGCCATTGATGTCTTCTCATCCCTTCTCAGAACCTTCACTCAGGTGTGTCACTGTGTCTTGGGACCGGTGGGCACTTGACACTCCAGCTGTGATGCCCTCCAGCTGCTGCTCTCCCTGACAGCCCCACAAAAGTAGTGCTTTCCTTTTCTCTTCCAGACTCCTCCGACGCCGACAGATTGGAAAGGTTTTTTGACTCGGAAGACGAAGACTTTGAAATCCTATCCCTTTGAAAAACAAACAGGAAACTGACTCTGCGAATTTGTGTATGTGTGGGGAGAAGGGGGGGAGGGAAGCTCCTTGGAGAGCCTGGGGCTACCGGTTTTCATAGGCGCTTGCTGCCATCTCTGCCTGCCCATCCCGGCCTCTCCCGCAGCCCCGGAGCACAGCGTCTGCCTGGGATGAGGAACCACGTGGGTGGCACAGCCCTGCTGGCTGCAGTCGGAATTTCTCAGCAGCAAACAGTTGCTGGAGTTGGATGCAGTGGTGCTGAGTTCAGAGCCTCTCTCACATCAGCAGGTCTCAGTGGCCTTCTGGGGGAGGCACAGGAACGGTCAGAGGGCTCGATCCTCCCGTGGGGACTCCCCTCTGAAGCTTAAGTAGAGCCCACCTGTCACTTAGGAGAAATGTCCAGTTAATGCCTCTAGCAGCTTTTCTTCTCACTTTCCAACCTGGACTGCAGCTCGCAATGCCAAGGAACAGCAGCCATGTCCCACAGAGAGCTGTGAAGCCTCCAGTGTGCAGGTCCCTACGGTACAACTCCTGTTCATGCTCTGCAGGGCACAGCACTGCCTCTCCTGCTCACATCCTATGGAAAGGGAGTTGAGGGAACCTCCATGTGGCTGGGAATTCAATAAGCAAACAGCTGTCTGGGAAAGTGCGGAGCATTCATGCTGCTGGGGAGGAGCATCTGAATCCCAGTTTAAACACCAGCAGAAGGAATGGAAGATATGTACATACTCAGTGAGTCAACCCAGGTGCTTCTACACTGGATTAATCTCTACAGCAAGTACCTTCAGGAGAGCTGCTTTGAGAACTGGATTCCGTAGCCCTGGAGAAGAGAGCCCACAGCTGGGAGAGGTGAGCCAGGACAGCTGAGCTGTGCCAGGCGTGTGCCTGCTCCTGCTGCAGCAGCATCTGGGGAGCTCATCCTGTCCCAAACACCTGAGCTATCTAACTCTTCGAGGTGCCCTTGGTGGGTTGGTCAGCAGTTCCTCCAACTACTTCTGTTGGACATTCCCTTTCCAAAGCAGAAGGGGTGCCTGAAGGTGTGGAGTAGCTCCTGAGCTGTGTCAGTTCCTGCCCCTGCCAGCTCCTCTCCCTGCAGAGTGTGCACAGAGGTACTGTAGGAGCTAACCTGGAGAAATCTGCCCAAGAAGTGCAGAATGCCTGGAGAAGGTCCCATTATACTGAAAATTTTAGCTGCTTTAAGCTGGTAGCTCTGCCTAGGGCCCTTCTCTGCACAGAGCAGTGGAGGAAAGCTCAGTGTAAACAGCAAGGGAAGACGCTGCCGTGGTTTCCTTGCTGCAGGCTGCACCCTGTGTGCACAGCTTTGGTTTGTACCTTCAGGGTTGGGAGCTGTCAGGTGGTGGGTTTTTGTGCCCAGGGGTCGTGCCAGCTGGCTAGAAATGAGCTGTTTCCCCTGTGACTGACCTACTGATGCTCTAACTGTCCCTGTGATGCCCGAAAGCAGAGGTGTGAACTGGGAACCACAATGCTTCTGTCACTAAATTATTATTTGCTGCTTTTCTGCCTGCTTCTCCTCTTCTCTCTTGTAGTCAGGGGAAGAGGCAGCAGAGGATGTGGGGCTGTGCTCCATTCATCTGCTTTCAATTTCTATCTGAATAAACAGATCTAAAACCTTTGCCTGTCCCAGCGTCCTTGCAGGAGCTGAAGGAGGTGCTGCCTGGTATCCAGTGGTCCTGCAGTGTAGTTGGGAATGCTGGAACCTGTTTTGCCATGGAATGGCATGAGCTGTGCTTGAATCAGAAGGCTCTACCCTCTGGTGGCATTGGCCTTTTCACTGAGAGCTCATTATACCACAAGATTCCAGTGCCTAAAGGGGCTCCAAGATTGCTGCAGAGGGACTTGGGACAAGGGCCTGGAGGGACAGGACACAGGGAATGGCTTCCCACTGCCAGAGGGCAGGGACAGGTGGGATATTGGGAAGGAATTCTTTCCTGTGAGGGTGCTGAGGCACTGGCACAGGTTGCTCAGAGCAGCTGTGGCTGCTCCATCCCTGGCAGTGTTCCAGGCCAGGTTTAACATCCCAGTTTGTTGTTATTTAGTCGTCATTACTGCTGACCTGGGTGAATTCAGAGCTGCTCTGGTTTGGCAGTCTGTGCTGGGCTTGTTCACACTGTTCTGGGGTGTGTGCAGGAGCCACAGGGGACTATCCCTCTCCTCTTGGCCACAGTCTAAGCTAATTTGTGTGCCACTCACCCTCCTGATTGGCCTTGTTATGAGCAAATCCATCTATCTGATGCTGTTTTCTGCTCACAGCAGTTCAGTTTCTGTCTTTTTCTCACTACATAGCTGCAGAATAGGCTTGAATTCACCTCTCCCTTCATTCCACAGCTCTAGCAAACAGCTTTCCCCTTCTAGAAGATAAATGATCATGCCGGAGAGAAAAAGAAAAGCTCTATGCAAAATGCTTAAAAGAATAATTTATTAGCAGGGCCCCTACAGCCTGGTTTGCCCAAACTATGGGGGATGCATCTGCTACACAGGTAGGGGCATCAGAAACAAGGCACTTCCCCAAAGCTGGGAGGGCTGGTGCCTGGCAATTGCTGCTGCTCATGCCCAGGGGTGACTCCACACCCACAGCTGCACTGCAGAGCTGGAGTTAAAAGGAACTCCTGCTTAGGAAAGGTTTTTGTGCCATAAGCACGTAATAAATTCCTTGTATTTGTTTAAAAAATACAGAAGGGACCATACAGGTTGGAGGGAGGTGCAGGTAACATACATAACAAGGACATCAGCATCATGCTGGACCTAGGAGAATGCACAGGATCTAGGCTGTAGCTACTGGAAGGTGATATAGGGATGATCCAACACGATGATCCAAGAGATGAGCCTGAGCTTTCCAATATTTTTCTAGACCTGACCTGTATCAAGTTTTATTTCCAGAGCTCTCCCAAAGGTTTATTCTGAACCTCCTGCATAGTTGCCTCTGCAATGGACTTGATTTCTATGTGCAAGTCTTCTATGCTCTTTGAAGCATCCACTGCCTGTTTCCAAGATAAATACAGGAAAACTTGTTACTAGACACCAGCAAAGGGAAAAAACCTTGTGGTTAACATCTGCTCCCCCAATACTCAATACTGTGACTTGATGAGCAGTAAAATGAGCTAATCACACCTCCTGTGTGCTGGTTCTGGAGTGGGATTGGGAAAAACCAATCTCTGTAGGAATAGATGTGGGGCTGAGTGAAGTGAAACAGAAAAAACTGCATGTTGTTTGCTGACAGTCTTTGGAGGGTGTGACACAGAGGCAGGTAAGCTGGGACTCATCCCAAAGAGCTAACCAGGGTGTCCTGAAACAGGGAAGTGCCACAGCCCATGATGCCCTTGGCTGGTCCCAAACGTGTCCCCCTGACCAGGAAAGGGGAGCACAGGGATGCACTGGGCACAGCTGGGAGTTCCCATGAGAGACTCCCAGCCCACCCCAGGACAGGCCCAGCAGACTTAATTTCCTCACCTTCCAGTTCAGGGTCTTGTCTTCCATCAGGCAGTAGAAGGACTGCAGAACCTTCTCTTGGAAGGAACTGATCTCATAACGTTCGTGTCCAAAGTTCCCTCGTTCTGCTGCTTCTGCTGGGCTCAGCTGCAGGAACAGGATCAGGTCTGGCTTTGGGAGTCCAATGTCAGGCTGTTTGCACCAGTCCAGGCTGAAGTTCTGTCCCAAAGACAAACTGAGTTGGAGGTGAAAGGAACACAAAGAAGGGAAAGCAGCAGGTTGGCTGGAAAGTGAGGTAGCAAAGGAACAACCACAGGAGTCAGGAATTGTGGCCCAGAACACTCAGCACAGGCTCCAAACTGAAAAGGTGATCTCCCAACTTACCTGTGGGAATTCAGTCCTGGTCATTGTGGGGGCAGCAGGTTCTGCTAGGTGCTGTGCACCTCTTGTGCCCATTTAAGTTGAATAGAGCTGAAGATTTCAGTGTCTCTTCTGTAGAGCCCATCAGAGCTCAGTCAGGTCATGTTCTGAGCCTCCACACAGCTGCCACCAGTCCAAAACTTGTGCTAGGTCCAAGAGAAAGCTGCTCTCAAACACACCACACAGCTTCAGGGTGGCTCTCTGATCCCATGGAGGATCCTTTCCAACACTCACCTACCCAGAGGTTTCAGCCCAGACACGAGATGCTGTTTCCAGCTTTTGTTGCCAGATCTGAAGACTTCCATCGGGGATTGTAAGTCCATGATGTTGAGGAGAGACCATGGAGGCTCATCCACATCTTAAATCCCTCTTCTGAGAGGCACAGGCAAACCTGCCCTCCAGCTTCTTTCCAAGTGTTGTGTCCGGTAATGGGGGTATTTTTGGATGCATGAGTAGTGGGGTTTTAATTCCATGAGGGTGTGACAGGAACTGGAAGTGCCACAGCATCCATCAGACTATTGAGTTAGATGGGGACATCAACATCTCCCATTCTTCTGGCAGTGCTTCTTGAGATAAAAAGCAGGTCAAACTCCCATCATTCCTTTAAGCAGATGAGGTCCTCTCTAGCAGCACAGGATGCCATTCCTGTTTCCCAAGAGTTGCATCCACATGGCTGCAGGTTGCCAGCTATGTCCAAAGAAATGGAGACACTTTAAGACAGTCTTTACCCCCACTGAGTAGCATTCCTTGCTGTGCCCGTGTGGTTTGGAGTGACTCAGCTCCTGTGTCAAACATGTCTTGGCTCCTAATCTGGGGCTTTTGCAAACACCCTGTTAGACCTCTACACTTTAATGCATCTGAGGGTTAAGCCTCAAACTATATGTCCAGGCTTAGGGAAGCAGGTGGGTGGAAAAAGGAGCAGGTGTGGGCGCAGGGCACAGGATCTCCTGGATTCCTCCAAGAAGCAGGGAAAGGCTTGGGCAGGAAGGAATGTAGGTCACAGCTGGTGCTGAAGCAGGGAGGAAGCATCTGTGACCACAGGATGCTTTCTGAGGGGTGGTGGCTACTGAGCAGGATGAGGACTGATCTGATGGGGGGGACAGGAGCATCTGTGCAGGACACCCAGAGGCAGCTGACAGAGCTCGTATGTCCTGAAAGCACAGACAGGCACAAGTGGGAACGAGAGAAATTCAGGCTACATGAAGGAAATCACTTTTCCTCTGAAGGTGAGCAAAGAGCCCAGAAAGGAGTGGATCTACATCCCTGGAGGTTCTCCAAGCTTGGCTGGATGTGGGCCCAAGCAGCTTGCTTGATGTCAGCCCAGCTGGAGATCAGGCTCTGTGACTCCCACAGCTTCTTTCAACGTGTGTGGTTGTGTTAATCTGTGCAGGTTTGCGGGCCAGCAGCCAGAGCAAGTCAAGTGTGCAGGGGGCTGAAATAAACCCACAGAATCATTGCCCAAACAGGTCAGCTTCCAGGCCAGGAGTCTGTCCAGACTCACAAAGAGTAACCAGCTGAGTTCCTGTGCTTGTCCTGGGAAAGGGCAGACCGAGACACACACTCCATGCCAATACCTGAGCTGAAACTTCCACCCCTGAAGGTCAATCCTCACTTCCCAGAAGGAGGATGTCCCCTGGGCTGCTCACACTCATCCCTCCTCCTGGAGCTGCTTCCCCAGGCCCAGGGAGGGGCAGGGGCTGCTGCAGGTCTCACTCACCCCTTTGGCACTAGTGAAGGCCACTCCAGAGAAGGCATATCTGTCAACCACAATGGTGATCCCTTGGTGGAGTTTCTCTTTCATTGAAGGTCTAAAACCATATGGGAGACAAAACGACAAAATTACATTCCTATGCAGTGACAGAAATGAAAGTTCCTCTAAAAAGTGTGTCATCACTGACAGAGATCACTGGCAGGGCAGCTGTGAGCTGGTTGTGTTCTGCCCTCTGACAGCCACTAACTGAAGAGCCTTTCAACACACCCAGACTCAGGGTGCTCAGGGCACTGCTCTGGGCAGCTCCAGGGCTCATAGGCAAGGTCAGACCTGAACTATACTGACATGAACAGCTTAGTCCTCTTCCCTTCTAGGTGCTGCAGCAGATTTGTGATATGCTCTAACCTTCCCAGGCCATGAACAGGGAGGGGAAACATGGCATCAGTGATTCCAAACAAACTGAGAGGGCAGGGATAGGTGAGAGATTGGGAAGAAATTCCTCCCTGGGAGTGTGCTGAGACACTGGCACAGGTTGCCCAGAGCAGCTGTGGCTGCTCCATCCCTGGGAATGTTCCAGGCCACGTTGGATGGGGCTTGGTGCAACCTGGGCTGGTGGGAGGTGTCCCTGCTCGTGGCAGGGTATGGAGCAAGCTGGTCCTTAAGGTCCCTTCCAGCACTAACCATTCTGGGATTCTATAATCAAATCCGAAGCTATAAGAGCCCTTGAAGCATCACTTCCAGCCTGTTTCCCTGGCTAAGCAGGATCACACTCTTGTACCCATTGGAAGCTAAACCCCCAGGGCTTCAACACCACACATTTTTCTGTCACAAGTGAAAAAACATCATCTTTACACATGTTCCCAGCGGTTGGCAGAGAAGAGCAGGTGCACAGTGTGGTCCTCCAGGTTCTTCTCTCTCACCAGGTATGAGCTGATCAACTGCCCAATCTCCGTGGTTCTGTCTGTGGGGAACAGGGAGAAGGAGCTCAGCTTGGCCTCAGTTGCTCTCCCCAGAGAACATCCACCTGTCCTGGGGGCCTGTCAGTCACAGGTTGCTCTGACTGGTGCCAGGG